GGCAAAATCGAACCTAATTTTGTCACCCTCTGTAACTTAAACAATAATTGCGCTAGAGACTTGAAAATTTGTACGTATACTTCTGCTGTAGAAGATATTTGAAATATGCAATGGCATGAAGCTAGCTCAATTACTTTTGAAATAGCAATAAATCAAAATTTTGAAAATTCCTTAAGAAAACCTTAAGGATCTTATTTATTTTTCGGGTTAACAGTTTCGCCTTCATTTTTGACACAGATGCAAAAGAGCTAAAAACTTAAACTTTGTAGGAGCAGTTTCAGCAAAGTCTAAGCTTTCTTTTTATACACAAACCTTTTCTTTCAAGCTGAAATTCCGAGCCGAGGCAGTTTTTCAGAGCAAAATGACAAAATTAGGTACCCTGACAAAATTACGTGCCTTACCCTATATGGAATTTAAAATTTTGGGTAAATTGCCGAAATCATTTATATCTGATTTTGGTTTGGAAGGCGGGAAAACTGTATATAAGGACGATGCACGGATAGAACTGATTCAAGTATAGGGCAGTTGATGTAAAAATTGTCACAATAATAATAAGGGCAGTTGATATGAAAGAAATGCAATGGCTGATGTGACGAAATTTACATTTTTTTGAACTTATTTTGAAGAAACATGCCTCGATTAGAATTCAATATTCTTCCAGGAATTATTAGTAGGTTATTATTCAGCAAATCAGAACTCAAGTTTAACAATTCTGAGTTTAATTTTACTAAGTTACCGAAATGTGACGAAATTCACTTTTCCTGCCCCAACAGTATAATTTCAATGTGATGAAAAATGGGCATGGGTTTCTATATTTCCTTATCTCTGAATTAATCATTTCAAACTATAATTAGGACTGTTGATGTGAAAGAAAGTGTATCTAAATTTTACAATGACGTATGTGACGAAATTTACATTTCTTGACCCTATTTTGAAGAACCATACCCCGATTAGAATTCAATATTCTTCCAGGAATTATTGGTAGGTTATTTTTCAGCAAATCAGAACTCAAGTTTAACAATGCTGAGTTTGATATCACTAATTTACCGAAATGTGACGAAATTTACTTTTCCTGCCCCAACAGTATAATTTCAATGTGATGAAAAATGGGCATGGGTTTCTATATTTCCTGTATAAATCCATTCCAACTATAATAAGGGCAGTTGATATGAAAGAAAATCTATCTAACTAATGCAATGGCTGATGTGACGAAATTTACATTTCTTGCCCCTATTTTGAAGAATCATACCTCAATTAGTATATAATGTTACTTTATCACCATCACTATGTCGATAAATTAGTTATTTTGCCAACACGGAGCAAATAAAGTTATTATTTTTTTTTGTGACGAAATTTACAAATTTTTACCCTGTTCAGGTGTTGAAATTTATCCAATGTTAACATATCACATTATCACTGCCATATAATAATTTATATGACCGGCGTATGGTTGAAATATTGTTAATTGACCCATAGTACGTAATATAGGGTGTTTAAGTTGGTATACTAATATTTACTCAATTTCACACATGTTGAGATATCATACAAATTTATGTGACTAAATTTACCTATTTCTGCCTTCTGTATTTGTATTTGCCTATAACAATGAAATATGTGAACAATTCCAAACACATTCAGCTCACAAAATAATGCTAGACTGTTCGGCATTTCTTGTCAGGATGTCATAAACATCCCTCATATAAATTTCTTAAATGTGTGACAGAGTTTACATGGAGCTACCATTTAAGGAAAAAAGTCGCTAAATATGTAGATAATAGTCATATACAGCTATTCTATGAATTGGAAATTCGAAAATTTGGTCAAACACGGCAACAAGGGGTCCATATAAACTCCGTCACGTTTTTATAGTGTGACAAAGTTTACAACTCACTGCCGGCCGCATTTAAGCGATATCTTATCGTCTGATATAGATATCGTTATGCGACAAAGTTTATCTAGAGGATGAAACGATTATCTTAGGGTAAGAGGGTTTATATAGTTTCATAGTGTGACACATTTTACATCATCGTGCCGTTCAGTAGGGTCACTAATATTTACCAATATCCTCAAACTTCAATGAACGTGTCCATATAGTAGTGTTGAAAGTATTAGAGACAATCTACCTGGTGTCCAGCTGGTGTTAGGCCTGGGTTAGTGGTAAATCGGTTGATAGTAAAGCTCTTACATGCAACTGGCTCCTTTTGCCAACTGCTTCTGGTTAAAGAGGGAATTTGTGTATTATTCAGTTGACATGAAAAAATATTTTGAGTGTTATTTGCTTGCAGAGGGGTAAAAGAAGCTGTAGGGAGGTCCAACTATTTTTTGCTTTTTTTAAAGAACTAATCCAATTTTATTGGAAGGGGAGGGGCCAAAAGGCACCTTTTGGGTGGGGGCCGATGCGCATTGTTGCGCTACTGAGTCCTCAATATCAAATATGACCGTATTTGCTTGAGCGCTCGATTTTAACAATACAGTGTAAATTGTCGAAAATATGCGCGGCGCGACTTCAATTTCGGTTTTATTTTAAAATCATTTTTGATCATAATTTTACTACACATACTTTTTAATTTGTTCTTATTATAAGATATATAAGATGGTTTGCTCAGATATAGCACCAAAGTATTATGAAGTACACGCGACAAATTTCTGTTTAAAGTAAAGTAAAGGTCCAACATTTTTACTTCACGTGCGCGGCTGTATTGTGGCGTTCGCCCTGCGATAGTAAATGAAATGACAATAAGGGTCACGTCGTGATACAGTGATTATTACTCGAAGAAATCTTGGAGTATTGTATATAGTTGTAGGTTTTTAACCTACCAAGACGCGCGCCGAGTTAGACTCGTCGACGGTCTTGTATTTGGAATAATGGAACAAATATTTTTAGAGTACCACCCGTTGTTAAGTAGACTAACCAGCGCGCGCTAATTCATAACATTTACTTCGGGCTGCGCTAAGGGGTCGTTCACATACTACGTCATATGGTATATATACCAGCTGAGGGGTGTTTCCGAATGATTTTGTAGGTTTATAACCTACCAGGACGCGCGCAGAGTTGGACTCGTCGAACAGATATTCCACGAGTATCACCATTCACGTACCCGTTAAGAATGATTACGCTAGTGTTATTTAGACACAATAGATATGTGTAAATGGTAAAGCTGATTACGGAGGAGAGGTAAAAATTGTCCAAAAAATGATTACGTAATATCAAATATGTGAACGTCGCCTAGTATTGCGTTACCTGAGGACCCCAGGCTATTATGTTCATTAACCGAATATAGATTTGGCGGAATGACAGGCTGAGCGCGGCCCAGTAAAGTATTGCGATAAGAAAGCGGCCGCGCGCAATACTTCGAAGAAAATAGACAAGTTTATTTTGACGGACGATGTCAACCCTTCAAGATCAATGCTAGAATGTGCATAGGATTTCAGCTTACCTATCTTGCTAGTCTATTGCTAGCTCCTCTCGCGTATATTCCTCCTGTTCAGGAAGCTAGCTTGAATGTTTAAAAGGCCGCCGCGCAGGGACTGGCGTGATTTTAGCGAGATATTTAACTCTAGCTCTCGAAGGGACTAAAATGTTAGACTTTTGTACTGCCTGACCTGGCACCTCGTCCGTCGAACTGAGAAGGATTGACATCGTCAATCGAGCTTGTTAGACCACAAATGAATATGGGCTCGGAGTTGGTGACATTTGACATAGCCAGGATGATTGATAATTCTGCAATAGACTGTCACGTGATATGGCCAAAGCCAAAGAATTTCTGTCATGCTTCCAATTTCTACTGTTTTTAATGGTTCAGGCATTCAATCAACTGTACAAATTGGCAGGTTTATAATCCATAATTCGTATTATCCATTATCATTCTAACTAATGAAACTATTTATTCTAGTTATATGAATTAATCAATCATTAACACATCATATTTACAATTTTACATAATATTATTCGAAGTGATATTGTACAATAAATTGAGGAAATGTTACGCAGATCCAACAACTGAATTCTTGAACAACCAAAATTGAGTACAAAAAGATATCGAGGAAAAGGATGCAAGCGGGATTAAACTGAAGCTGAATTTGATGGTCCCATCGAATAAATAAATGTATCTAGTACGGGTCAGAGAGAAAATCGCACCCATGTTCGCCAATTTCATAGTCCGGGCAGAAGTCTAACTCATTCTTTGATGTTGTAAACCTTAGACTCCTTCCAGCATTCGTTTCTGTACGTGTCGGAACACCATTTCATGATCCCGTAAGAGATGACGGCGGGAGGGCCCCACTGAAGGGACCAGATACCTGCACGACGGAAGTAATTCTTGAACTGATACTCCCAACCTGGAAATTATTATGTTTTAAGGAGTTTAATAGCGATAGTCTGAGCAGGAGACAAGACCCGCATCATAAGAATGGTACGTGCAATACCGATATAAACTATAAATTTAAGGTTTGAAGTCAACCTTTAAAATGTTCAAGAGGATTACGATGAGGTTGTAAGGGGTTTATATTAGATTGCCATTAACAGACAAGCTATTAGTTAGAAATCGCCTATTAATTTCACTCCTCTTGTTACCGAACCTGGCGAAGTGCCAAACTGGTCTTTGAACGAGCTTTTCGCAGAATCAAATATTTAACAGATGTAAACGTAAATTGTGGCGATGAAATAGCCCGGAGTCAGTTCAAGAGAACCGGCAAGATTAACTGTTCAGATCTAAGACTCACCAGCGAAAGTTCGGAGCTCAGAGGGGTTCAGCTGGTATTGTACCACATTCCGTACAAACCTTCCTTTGCCGGGATGAAAACCCATCCTATTGTACAAAACTATACCGTGTTAAAATGAAATTGGATTATTAGTGATAAAATGAATATGAGAATACATTCAAGGCTGAGTTTGGATTGAGTTTTATCAAACTTCGAATTAATTTTGTTTAGTTTCAATGATTATTAAATTTCACTTCGGATAAATTTGATGAAGACCAACAGACAATAAAACGCTCAGATTTGATAGAATAAAAAAGATCACAATAAATTAGTAGATTCTGTGTGGCTTTCCCATTGTAGATTTAATGTTGAGCGACCTCACGTTCTGCCAGTTCTTCTTCAAGAGTGATACCAGGAAGTTAACGGCCAACATAATATTTGCGTTCAGCTCATCGGTTTCCATAGAGACATTACCGACTGCGACAGACAGACACAGGACTTTCTTCATCTGGAATTTGATGGTTTTCTTGACGGTCTCTACTTTCTCTTCCATGTTTTCTTGATGGGACAGAGATGTGGGGAACTTACCAGCTTTGTTCAGACCAGGTCCTGGGGGGGAAAAACTTGGTAAGTAGGGTAATATAGGAATGACGATCACACACAATTTTAGTTGAATCTATGAATCTTAATCTATGATGTATGGCATATTTTGGAGGTGAATTCTTTGACAAGTATTCACAACAAAACTACCAGAAATTCTTGTTCAAAGAACAAAAACTCAAAACTTTGTTGTTGCACAGTGTCTGGCCAGAGCGATTCTTACGTCCGCTCTGGAATTTGGCTATGCGACAATTACAGTAGTTAATACCCTATCAATCGGTCGACAATGATGGCCGTTATGTAGAAGAACAAGAAATTTCGCTTACCAAGGATCTAGGAATCTGTTTGATCAGACCATCTGAAGCCATGAAAGCATCGTAGTTCTTAGCGAGCTTCTTCACCAACTTCTTGTTCTTGTTCAGCTTCTTGAGGTCCTCTGCGCTCTGAAATATTAGAACATGTTCAGAAACTCATCTATTAAAACCATGCTTGGTTTTACAGGGCAAATTTGGAAATAAAAATGAACATTAATAGGCTGTAAAAATAGTTTATATTAGATTGCCATTAATGACAAGCTTGATTAAAATTATTCTGTTAATCTTACTCCTCTTGTTACCGAACCTGGCAAAGTGCCAAACTGGTCTTTGAACGGAGTTTTACCCTATATATTTTTATAGCAAAGAATTTCCCAGAATAACTCTAAGTTTAGTATAGTTACCTTGCAGTCGTATCCGAGTTGCTTAGCTTCATCAATATGCCTTTCATCTCCAATAATGCAAATCTTGTAGTTTTTCTGAAATAGGAATATTTTTAGCATCGTATTGGTAGGGATTTAAAACTTTGACAATAGTTGCGTCAATTCTTGGCACAGGACGGAAATAAAATGTAGTATCGAATATCGAATATTATTCTGACATACTTCTAATCTTGTAACATCCACCAATATCTTTTAGATCAGCTGATAAAAACTAAGTTACCTTGGGGACGTGACGAAGTTTGACGGTACCAGTGAAACGCTTGTCACGAGCGGGATCGTAGTTCTTCAAAGCAATCTGCAGCTCGATTGTCTCTAAAAACTTCCTGAAAAAGAAAACTTTCCGTCATTTTTAGATCAAGGAAAAATCCGTAAACATTCGTAGAAGAAAGGTTAGCCAAAAAACTTAAACGAGATCGAGACAATGATTGACATTTAGATGGAGTAATTAACAAACCTCTGTTTGTCTTTAGAGCCAGACTGAATACTGGTGATGGCCTCCAGCAGAAACTCCTTGTTGATCTTGGACATGGCTGGTCCTACATAGGACAAGTACAGTGGTTAAGCGAGGGATTTGCTGGTGAGCGTTTCAAATATAGTCCAAAATCAAAGTACAAGAAGAATAAACAGTTCAAAGATTATCTTTTTCAAGCTTTTTAATCAAGAAGTAATCTTACTTGCGAAACAGTGCTAAACACTGAACGCCCAGGGAAATCCCAATCGGTTTGGGCAAACCGGCCTAAGCAGGCTACCCAAAATCGGCTGGGTGGGCCGGCCTAAAACGAGGCTACTCATTAGAGGCTGAGTGGGCCCTCGTCCTCTACTATATACCATGAACTAAGTTTCTGAGCACTTGTGAGTACATTGTCTGAACAGAGTACTTTGTACAGATAAGCAGGGTTAGCGAGGTACAATAACAAAGAATAGAGGTAAGTGTAAGCAGTGATACACAGTGTGGATAGATTAAAAATCAAGCGCTACACAGTTTACATCATGACACCGGATCTTGTAGGTTTGCTCTTCGTGTGGGATTTGCTGATCTTCTTTTGGGCAGCTCTCACGGCTTTAGTGTCGGTCTTCTTCTTTGTAGATTGCTTGGCTTCCTTCTTGGCCTTCAGCTTCTCTTTTTGAGATCGGATAACCTGTTCTCGTTGTGCTTTACGGACCTAGGTTGTAAGACACGGTGAGATTCATTGATTGATTGTTCAGTGAAGATTAAATTCATCTAGTCGAAGCTGTACTAGAAAACGGAGGCTGTCAGGACAATGGACTATCACTGACAGTACTATGGTTCTAGAAATCTCTATCGCCCGGCAACGATGGGTAATTGAAGATCATCTGGCAAAACGCCAGACAACCAACAAGGTGGTCTACAAACCAACACCCTGTAACGAATTCGGGCAAAGAAAATCGAAATTTTCAGTAAAAATAAACCTCTGGTTTCTGGTTTCGTTTGGCAAGGATATTTTCTAACGTGGCACCCTGAATACTCCTTTGGAACTTTGTTGTCTTCCTGGTCCTCTTCTTAGAAACGTCCTGCTCTGTTCCTTTCTTCATCTTACGCCTGAGGTAAGAAAACTTAGCAAATCAGCAAAACATTATGTTCATATGCGACTGGAACTGAATTTCAGTTATCAGTTATCAGTGTAGAGCAGATTTGGAGGTGAATTCTTTGATAAAGATTCGCAATAAAACCACTAAGAATTCATGTCCGAAGAACAAGAACTCAATACTTTTATATTGCACAGTGTCTGGCCAGAGCGATTCTTACGTCCGCTCTGGAATTTGGCTATGCGAAGATTGCAGCGATTACATATTAGCAAAACATATGCTGCTGAAACTCGATTGTAAAAGACCTGAATGTTCATATCACATTAAATAAATAAATAGGAAAACAGAAAAAACATACAATACCTGTAGAGAACGGTCCAGGCGATTTTCCTGGGATTCTTCTTCATGAGGTAGGCATTCCTTGACTTCTTGTTGACGAAGTTATAGATCTTACCATCAGTCCTTGCCAATCTGATACCACGGGAAGGGTAGATTTTATAGCCGGAGAAATTGCAGAGGTCTAACTTGAGAGACATGGCTGGGAGAGAAGGTGCTGGTTAAAATATTGAGTGTTTTAATAGAAAAAAAAGTATAACTTTAAATAGGAGATGGTCAAATATATTGTGTCATTTGAATTAGGAACAGTCTAAGGGATGATAGTTTCATATTTTTAGGTGGGTATAAGAAGTAGGGACATCGCATATTTTCAAAAGATAAAAATTTACAATTTAACATTATAATATGTAATACACAATCAAAAGGATTTTAGAACATGAACATTTAATGTAAAATTTTAAAATAAAATATCAGCAAATACGTAACTTTTTATTTAATATTAAATTGAAAAAATTATCAAGTATGCAAGTAGTGTGAAACAAGGAAAAGCACAACTCCCATAAATCTGAAATAGTCTGATTTACTGTGTCTCACTGATACATTTCGTGATAAAACCATTACTTTTTCCGGATGGAAAAGAGTTTCTGTGGTTCATCTTTTCAAGATCAACGATCGTATCAAACGCATCTAAAGACACCTTTTCATTGGGACATGACACAAACTTATAGAAGTCTGGCTGGAAGAGATATGATACGGATAATATCTCGACAATGTCTCGACCGTTTTGTGCGGCCTCGTGGAGTTTATCTATGCACTGTTGTATTGACGAGAGTAGCTCTTCGTTATCCGGTGATTTGAACGATTCGGCAACGAAAAACATATCTGGTGTATGTGGACAACAGACAGATGTTTTGATGAAGGAGCACCTTCTAAACAGTCTGGTGAGTATGTACACGACAGAAACTGTGAATCTGTCCTGAACTCTCTGACAGTGTAGAATGCAGTTGCCACCTGATTTAAGAAGGGTCAACACATTTTTGAGGTTTTCTAACATGCTCTCCTTAGAGCTGGTGTCAAATGTTATCAAATCCAGTGAATTTTCTTCACATTCGAAGGAGTCCTTAACTGTGCAACGTTTTTCAAGGTACTCGTGGAATTCGATAGACGAAGAGAAATCTGAACCAACATTATCTTTAGAAACAAAACTTGTGAGATTGTTAAGATAACCCAGCTGAATGTCCGAAAAAGAATAAGCCTCAGGGATAGCACTGAGTGCGTAGAAAGCGTGAACACTTTTAGCTACATCACACAAATCACTACGATGGATCACCGTGCTTTCAGCCTGAGCCTCGTTCAGCTTCTCTAGAGTATCAACTGAGAGGAATCTGGAGTTAGTAACACGTGATAATCTTCTCCCTTCCACTGGTGACAACACAATTTCTCTACCACCAGGCGACTCGAACCACTGGACCTCGTCCCGACTGCTGACGATCGCAGAGTTGATGGGATTAGCGGAGTAGCCCAGACCTCTGCCTTCCTCCAGCTGCTTTACTTGGATTGCTTCTCTCATCCCTGATCCGTCCCGACCGAGACCCTCCCCAGCGGTGAAACCCATCTTAGCCATGAGCTTGTCCCCGATATTCTGATCAGGAGCATTGTCTGTGATGGGGTCCAGGAGAGGGAGTACTGTTCTCTGGAACCACGTCAGAGAGAGCGCTTGTACCTTCTCGCTGTGACTTTGAGCTAGCTGTAGGAAGAAAAGATCAGAATTGAGCTATTTTATATCCACAGTTTTTATTGAAAAATATGTGATTGTTTCGAGAAATCAATATTAAAAACGGGAATGTACTAGAAAACGGAGGCTGTCAGGACAATGGACTATCACTGACAGTACTATGGTTCTAGAAATCTCTATAGCCCCGCATCGGTGGGTACTTGAAGATCACCTGGCAAAACGCCAGGCAACCAGCAAGCTGGTCTAAAAAACCAGCACCCTTTAACGAATTTGGGCAAGAAGAAAATAAATCAAGAGATCAAGAAAATCGTTTAAATACCTGTCGTCTATTGGACCCTTTCTTTCCGTCACTACTAAGCATGGCTGTAGTGTTGAGCTTAGTCCCATTCAGGTAGATGTCCCTGACTAGTCTTTTATCATCTGGGATAGGGCCTAGGCCCTTACAGACAGTCTTCATGTAGTGCTCCACTGCGAACTTCTTAATCTGTAAACCATGGAATTAAATACTGCGACTGGTGAAAAATTGTATTATAAGGGAAGTTGAGATTTTACGACAAGGGTAATCGTTAGATCTAGAGTTTTTTGTTTTGATACATTAATTATAAAACGGGAATGTACTAGAAAACGGAGGCTGTCAGGACAATGGACTATCATTGACAGTACTATGGTTCTAGAAATCTCTATAGCCCGGCATCGGTGGGTACTTGAAGATCACCTGGCAAAACGACAGGCAACCAGCAAGCTGGTCTAAAAAACCAGCACCCTTTAACGAATTTTGGCAAAAAGAATACAGTATAAAATTCAATAACATGAAATTCCTTTTAAATCGAACCTGAAACAGTTTATTCTTTTCGGGAGGGGGAAAGTGTTCGAAGGTTCTGATATTATTTTCGATCATCTGTTGCTGGTAGTTTTTAAACTTCTTGGAACAATCTTTAAACTTGAGGATGAACTCTTCTGGGATGTCTGACCTATAGGATTGAACGGTTAAAACCAAAAATTATAACATTGATTTTAAGTACAGAGCTTGGATAAGAGCTCTTTCGTATTGTAATCTGTAAAAAGAGGACTGACCAAAGTATCATTATCTAAAACTGTGGGTAATTATTCTTCTAAGTAATCTAGCACTTCTGAAAGGCTTGACGAACATGAGTATCCGCCACGCGGCAAAGAGTGCACAAATTTAAACGCATTTTGAAAGACTCTATTCGATTAATAAAGGCTGAGTTCGCAATGTAGTAACCTGGCAAAGAAAGCGTTGTCTGTTCCCTCCAAAGAATGATGCTGCTTCAATGCTTCAAGTTGGTCGCTGGAGAGGACATCAGCTCTGAAGCCAGTGCACAGAGTGTATGTTTCTGAGTTCCCTGACTTGCTGGTCAGCGGCTTTACTACCTCGACCTAGGATGAAAATCATGTCTAATTCTAGCCCAGGATTATCTTTCAGATCTGGAAATTTCAACTGCACTAGAGATGGATTTCCACAAAAAGTTACATTACATTTAAATTTGAAACGAAACCCAGTGTTCACCGCACATACCTTCTCAAACAGACAAACAAGAAGATAAGTTAGACAGAGTGTAGAATGCTCGAAGAGAGTGAATCCCTTGAGAAGGAAGTTTCCGCCTGGAGCGAGAAGATTGAGAGCCGAGACTGTTTCACAATAGTGGAGGTGAGCAACTGTCGCTTCCTGTTCGTTAGGGTTGTCCTGACAGTCTATACTCCCGTCAGCTGTAACCAGTAGGACCGGGGATGTTGACTGAGTGGGAGGAGGAGTTAGAGGGAATTATTTAAATATTCATTATTGTTAGTTTTGTAGGGATCATAACGGCTGTCGACAACGCTTGTTTTGTGGATAAAATGAAGCAGGACAACAACGACAAAATGGTTGTGAACGAGTAAATAACATATTGTAATACAGCTCAGAACATTTTGGTGGCCTTTTACTAAGCTTTGATATTTTAATCTGTAAAAAGAGGACTGACCAAAGTTTTATTATCTAAAACTGTGGGTAATTATTCTTCTAAGTAATCTAGCACTTCTGAAAGGCTTGACGAACATAGTATCCGCCACGCGGCAAAGAGTGCGGAACCTTAGTAAAAGACCAACAAGTGCTAAAAACGTTTCAAGTTGTTATGTTTTATTTTCTCGTTCTAATCACTAATTGATTGATAGGCAGGTTAATCAATGAATCAAATAAACATTAAACATCCTGTTTTAAAGTACACCAACCTCGGCAGAAACTTTCTTTTTAAGATCTGCGATATTCTCACTGTTCATGACATTTCCTGAGTTATCGCCCCCAAAGTACCAGTTACTGTAGGTCTTGGAGATGAACAGGTCGTCATCAACCATCTCTTTGGAAGTGTTTCCTGCGAGTAAGACAAATAGGTTTTAATAATTGATAAAATTTTAATTGAGTCAATACGTATTACGAAAAACTTCGTTCCAATGCCATGCAAAGTAAAACAAATATCATTCAGCAGATAACATTAAACATTGAGAGATTTCAGTCAGCTGCAAGATACGGGATACCAAAGAAGTGTTTAACGACTTTTGATCCGAGTGCCCCATGCCACCCGGGGGAATACGCCGCTAATTTGGTGTTGCACTTTTTAATGACTCGGCAGACACAATAACATACGTCTGACAAGAGGTAAGAAAGTGCAAAATTGTGCGTCATTCTAGTAAATGTAAGAAAGTTCAGCGCAGTTGAAAAGTACAAATAATAATAACAGAGGACACACACCTTCGAAATATGGGTTGAGAGTCATGCCGAACCAGTTCCACTGAAACTCTGGATGATTCCTTTTCAGGTAGTGGTTCAGAGAACAGATGAAGCCTCCCGGAGCTTCACAAATGTGGACTGAGGTGAACTCTGGCTTGTCGGATACTATTTTACTCGCCATTTCATAAAACTTTGCCCACGCCTAGAAGGAAGAAATATCATAAAATTCGGGACAGAACAAACTTCTAACAACAGTCGGGCATTCTAGTGACAGTAGAGACACTTATATCAGTGAAATTTCTATTTACAATTAGCGGTATATAAAACAAAAGTTCAGCTTAAGCACAGGATATTGTAAAGTACAAACCTGCGTCAGAAGCTCCGCCTGAAGCTCATTCCGCACAGTCCGCATGATATTCCCCGCCGGGTTGGTGAACCGTGTGTGTCTGTGCCACACCTCCTTGTCTTTGTCGTTTAGTTTATTCTTTGTTTTGTTCAGATCATCTTTGTAGAACTGCAGTGTCGACACCTACAGAAATTTAACGCCTGAAGGTTCGCGGCTGCTAGAAAAGTTACTCGGACATAAATATGGAAGGAGTCCAAATTATCGTGCAATAATTCGCAAAAAATGGTATCATGTGGATAAGTTATTATATTACATGGTCAATCTCAACATTTTGATCGGTTTTAACAGATAAGTTTTGTAGATAGAGGACTGCCCAAAGGATCATTATATAAAACTGTGGGTAATTATTCTTCAAGGTTATCTAGCACTTCTGAAAGGCTTGACGAACATAGTATCCGCCACGCGGCAAAGAGTGCACAAATAATACAAAATTATTTGATATTAGCCAGATCCTGTAAAGTATTTACCTGGTAAGGAGGTTGAGTGAACCAGGTTGTGTGATCAGGAAGAGTAAAGCCCTCAGTCTCAGTAAACACGTAGCTCTTATTGAACAACACTCCCACCTCCACCTTCACCTCATCACTGATCCGGTTGTCCTGGAAACCTCCGCGTCTATCCCCACGGTAACCACCCCCGCCGCCGCCACGCCGGTTGTCGTAGGGCTTGTTGTAGTGGTGGGATTGTCTGTCTCGTCGGTCGGGACCACCGCCACGTTGTCCGCCTCCGCCGCCACGAGGACTTCCGTCTAATCTGTTGCCATAGTTGTTGTGACCACGGTCGTACGACATTCTATTACAAGATAGTAATGGTTACTTGTTTGCTTAACCATTATTATTATTATACAGTATGACTAACAATATCCCAATATTAAACATTGAATATGGGGAATGGGGATGAGAGAAGACCATCTGTTCGTCTCAGTTGAAATGTAAATAATCCGCTGAGTGCTCTTAGGTGTTTTCCTTTAAAACTGAAAAAGATAACTTACATTAATATGATGCAATTTTAGTTCATTTCAGAAACTTCTTCTCAACTGCTGCCAAAACATTCAGAAATGTATTGAAGTCTCCATGGTTCATACAGTAGAACGAAAGTTTAGAAAATCATTAAGTATTTCGACAGCAGAATTAAATCAACACAAAAATGGTTGAATCATAATTATAGTCTACTAGGGCTTACCTTGGTTTCCGTACTTGGAACCAGTAACCGATCTTCAATTCTGTATCTCGCTGGGTAACTGAAGGAGAACTATTATTAAAAATCACCTTCAGTTAGTTAAGAGATATAAATAAATTATGAAGATCAGTATCACTAAATATCTATTTCAGTCTGTATCAGATGACCGTCGTGATTAATTCATCAGTTCAAAAGCAAAGGCATTTCAGACGAGATGGTTTAGGCAATGATAAATCCAACACACCTTTTGTTAGAATCTAAAAATCTCAGTGCTGCACTGGTGTTTCGACTAACCGTCATTGGTTCGATTTAAATCCGCAACCTGCAAAGTAATGTTTAATAGCATGATACAAAAAAGATTGACTTCAAAATAGGAGACAGAATGCTGACTTATTATTCAGAAATTACTAAATCTCCATGGTTCATACAGTAGAACGAAAGTTTATTAAACATCATTAAGTTTTTCGTCAGCACAAAATAAATCAACATCACCATTAGTTGGCTGTTGCTCAAGTTAAAAAGAAAAGAAAAAACAAACCTTGTTTAAAAACTTTCCATTCTTTCGAGTACCGGGACTTTTTCGTAAGCTGAAATTTTTCCAAATTACACATCATTACAAACGAGCAATGCTCAAAGATCAAAGATAATTTAAATTCAGATAGTAACATCTCTCCATGGTTCATACAGTAGAACGAAAGTTTAGAACATCATTATTATATTATTTATCGTAAAATAAAGTTTGGGGTAAGTCCAATATTTAATATAAAACTTAAGCTCACCTAGAATAAACTCTGCAAGTGGTCGACACCGATATTTCTGTCCCGCGATGTTTTGATAGCTGAAATGGTTGTAAATTAGAAATCATAAAAGCAACTAGCGCTCAAACAAGGTCAAAGATAATTTAAATTCAGATAGTAACATCTCTCCATGGTTCATACAGTAGAACGAAAGTTTAGAACATCATTATTATATTATTTATCGTAAAGTAAAGTTTGGGGGTAAGTCCAATATTTAATATAAAACTTAAGCTCACCTAGAATAAACTCTGCAAGTGGTCGACACCGATATTTCTGTCCTGCGATGTTTTGATAGCTGAAAATGGTTGTAAATTAGAAATCATAAAAGCAACTAGCGCTCAAACAAGGTCAAAGATAATTTAAAATCAGATAGTAACATCTCTCCATGGTTCATACAGTAGAACGAAAGTTTAGAGCATCATTTTTTAATTATCTATTTAAAAGTTTAGGAGCAGAGTCCTTTATTTAATTTGAGACTAACCTAATAGGCGCTCTCTGTTCGACAACATTGATCCATCGTTAATTTTCTGTTTCTGAAACAGAATAAAATAAGACACTTCAAAAACTCTAAACAAGATAAAATAATTTAGTAAATCAGAGCGACATTGGATTTTCTCCAGGGTTCATACAGAACGAAAGTTATTTGGGTCATCATGAAAATAAGGGAACGGAATATTATAGGATCATGAGATGTGGACCTACCAGGATAATCCTAGTATCTGGTCCGTTTGTCCAGACTATTATTATATGATTAAACCAGATCACATTGATATAGATATGTCATGTTAAAGCAGAGCCACTGTCCAGATCCAACAGTCACCGTAAAGAACCGGACCGTTCTTTAATCCCTGAATTTAAATATATTAGAAATCTTAAAACTAATCATGATCGTACGTAGACAAAAGTGAAAAATCAGAGAAAATGTGTCATCATGAAGTTTGGGGAAGTACTAATTAATGTATTTTCTCAAAATCAGAGTGTGTAACATAGAACTCATCATTCAGTGAGTTCGAACCTGATGTCTACCTAACTGCTTCTTATATTATTGCAGGCCTTCCCGGTCAATATTAATATTTATAAGTTAAATTATTTGTGGAAATGTATGATAGGCGATAGCGGAATTTTTCAAAGTCCACCATCTTAGGTCCGGTATGGTGATGTATTTATGTAACCTAAAGCTAAGGTGAATGTGATCATATTTGGGTTTACAAGCTCAACAATAAGCCTCCACCAATGCACATACCTTGAATTTGACATTCAGTGGTTTACAACTTCATCGATTGCAGAGATCACTCCGGTGGAATCCTCAACAGTCTGGATTTAACAGTCCCAAAATCTTTCTGGAACTTTCAATCTTTCACCCCCTGAATTAGCAAGTTTTGAGAAATCTCTATCTTCATTTCCGTACATAAGCAAAAAAGAAGTGAAAAGTCAGAGAAAATGTGTCATCATGAAGTTTGGGGAAGCACAAATTAATGCATTTTCTCAAAATCAGAGTGTGTAACATAGAACTCATCATTCAGTGAGTTCGAACCTGATGTCTACCTAACTGCTTCTTACAGACCTCCCGGTCCATATTAATGTTTATAAGTGAAATTAATCGTGAAAAATGTGGTGAATAATTTTTCTTAGTCCGCCAACTCTGGTTTGGTATAATAGTGCAACCGACGTTAAATTAAACGTGTTCTCAGACTTAAACTTGCAGTTGAAAATCTAAATAACAAGGTTATTTAGGTGCACAAACCTTGGGGGTAGAGATTTGGTGACAGATTATGTAGCTGCGATATTCCCAGAGATAGAACAGGTAAAATTCTCCACTGTCCAGATCAAGTCACCAAATATTCTGGAACGTTCTTGTCTGTACCCCCTGAATTTTAATATATCATAAATCTCATTACCTATAATCGTGCGTAAACAAAAAAGAAGTGAAAAGTCAGAGAAAATGTGTCATCATGAAGTTTGGGGAAGCACAAATTAATGCATTTTCTCAAAATCAGAGTGTGTAACATAGAACTCATCATTCAATGAGTTCGAAGTTGATGTCTACCTAACTGCTTCTTACAGACCTCCCCGGTCTTCACTTCTTATTCTTTATTAATTAGGGACATTGTTTGTGGACAAATATGGTGGCTGTCTTGGCCGTATCATAATTTGGCCATGTAATAATTTATCTAAGATTGATTTTATTCGGCCTAGGGTTTAAAAAGCTTGGTAACAAGGTTAAAATTATTGCACAGTACATGATCATACAAAACTACTGCACAGTTACAGTGCATGTACCTTGAAAGAGGAGATTTGTTGGCAGAGCATATAACTGTAATGAGATTAGACAGGTGTAATTATCTATAACTGCCCAGATAAAACAGTCACCACGCCGTTCTGGAACCACCTGAAGCACAAGATCTTACAAACCATGTCGACCATTATTATTCATTAATAAAAAAGAAGTGAAAAGTCAGAGAAAATGTGTCATCATGAAGTTTGGGGAAGCACAAATTAATGCATTTTCTCAAAATCAGAGTGTGTAACATAGAACTCATCATTCGTGAGTTCGAGTAAATAGAAGTTACACAAAAAGTAACGAGTCTAAATTGTAAGCTAATCCAAAACATCAACTGCTCTTAAACAAGAAATGAATTACATTCCTATCAGAAGTAGTCAGAGTCTGCAGAACAAGAACTTACCTTTTAAAGATTTCAGCGATAGAGAGAGCAGCGTTGAAATACCACAAACTGCACCGTTTAACCCTGAGGGTAGGTGTTGAAATAACATTGGGTGAAAACTGGAAAATCAAGATGAATTTTAATTGGATGATCAGCTATCAATTCTACGATCAGGGTCTTTCATATCTTTTACTGCGTCATCAGATCATATTGTTTTTTACTTGTAGTTTAGTTTACCAAGTGGAGGATTGTAAATATTAGACGCCACAAATAAGATTAGTGAGACGAGTACCACACAAGGCAAGGGGTCAAAACAAATTCTAAACTGAACTCCCGAATAACAGATCTAAGTGTAATTTAACTAAGAACGCTGCATATCTTTTTTTTTCATGAAAATCGAGCAACATTCCCTTAATTCCTTACACAACTGGTGAGGTTATCTCCGTAAGTGCCAGAAGAAATAACGTGAATACCAATAATTATAGATTCCTCTTTAAGGGTAGAAACTTTACTCAGTTATTAATTGAGTTTTTGGTAAACTAAACTACTCGTCAGGTGGATGGTTATGAGAATTGTTCATACCTGTGATGATGTCGGAATGTAGGATCTTCCAATCTGGTTATCATGAACTTTACCTCCGGTGGTTTCTACTCTAAAATAAGTATGTTTATTAGCGATTTCCTATTTTCGGTTAGACTTTATATAGCAGGGAGATGCAATCAGACAAGAATGAAACTTTTTTCAGTAGTCAGCAAAAAGTGTGACCTTTTATGAATTTGAAAAGGCGTCATCACTCAATGTTGTGAATAAAACAAAACAAAAAGTATCAATTGCTTACATGGTTACGAATTCTGATATCCCGCTTTTTGTTACCAAAGTCCATGCTGCAAATTCTCTCTGAAAGATTCAAATTTTATTTTAAAATTCTATAATCTCCTCCAACATTAAAACCATCATCTGCATCAAATGGAGCAAACTTTAACTTATCCATTACACAACGACAACTTTGCGATTTAACTATTTTTGTGAGATTATATTTTGACTACGTTTCAATATAAAATAAATCCTATTATTCTGATCTCGATCAGGCCGGTTTTATAATATATAATATATAATTGTTGTGTTTGTTGAGCAATAGCATTTGCGGTGGCCGTTGAAAACTTCACCACTGCAATGTGAGAGCTCAACTCAAAATACATTAAAACAAGATCTTTAAATTTCAAATTTGTTGTTGCTTTAATCGGTAAACAGTAGTCTAGAAATTCTCGTAAACGAGTTGGTCACTTGGTAAGGATTTAAACGTACTGGCCCGGTATTCAGACTTGTTCTCTATTAAATCTTACTATATAAATCCGTTGAAAATATAATGCTTTTGGACACGAACGTAAAGCTTGAAATCTTCGTAAAACTACATCTTACTATATATATATTTATCCGTACCACGGCATCAACTTTAACGCGACTTTCCGCAAAAACCGTAAAAGATATACAACTGAGAATTTTTTTGACTGCGTCGAATGCTTTTATATGGCATCCAAATCAGCATGAAAAAATAAAAAATTGGCCAAGGAATAGGAATTTTAGAGCCCAAAATTTGGACCCCCAAGTGGTGTCAAAAACGCGAATTAAATAGGCAATAATCATTTTAGTCTCTTGAGACCACTTTAGGGCTAGACGGGTTCCTGCTAGTAGAATTAACTGCACGTCAAAACCAATTCTAAGATAATCGTAAATCTGAAACTTTCCCATGTATTCATGTAAGTAAAAGACGTTGTTTTGAAATAACGTAGATCGTAGCCAATAAAGGGGTCAAACCGTCCTACATTGTACCTTTTAACGTCTGCAATATCCACAGTGCGGAGAGAAAGGTTTAAAACCCGTTTAGCACAAGAATAAACGGCTGACCACTGCGGTAAACGGCCGTTTTACCGTGATGCAGTGAATCGGGGCGGTATATAAGCACTGGTAAACATCAAAAATTCAGTCAGTATGAGTTCCGAATCTCCATCCAGGATACAAGATCACCTTTGGAACCGAGGACCAATAATTCTCAATAAATCCATTCTTTTCAGATGGTCGTAACTCGTAAAATTTTTACGATGCCTTGGTCAATTGACATGGATATAACTTCAAAAACAACTAACATATATTCCTTTATCCAAATTAAAACTGGTCGTACAACGTTGTTCCTTAAAGTTATATCAGAGCGGAAAAAGCAACGTTAACACATTCTGAAGCAAAATTTTATGCTTAAGATCTAGATCTGTCGTCATTATAAACAAGTGTTATTTGACTCTTTGAACAGACTTCACATCTTTATCATTGTACTCTCTTAACCAGCATTCAAGGGTATAACACGTTGAGTTACTAATGTCCTCTTTTTTATTAGCCTAATTTGGTTTGATTATTCCATTACTTATGGATACTTTTCCTTATTCAAATTTCTCTTTCTACTATTTTGGTTTTTAATCAGCTCGTTGGTGGGGTGACATTATATGCAGTGTTCAGATTGTTGGAGAATGGAGAGGCTTTATTGGAATTTAACTATGTCTTAAACTGTAAACTAATTGTTGACAGGAAAGATGGCCTAAAATTTTCATATATATTTTATTTACCATTTGCAAGGTGTACACAAGGATATTGGGAAGCCAGCGACTCTACGACCGCATGATCGTGCCCCTATTTTATCTTCTAAACGACTATGAAGCTGATGGTCAGTTAATCTGTGCTCTCTATATTTCAGTCGAGCACTCTCGGACAAATCCGCGAGTATTTTTAGTTCAAATAAGTCAAATTATTTTCTAGGTAGAAGATCGATTCTCACGTGCACTCTCAATTTTGTGGTTGACCACCCTCAAAATGATTTGTCCTTTGATGAAAAGTTTTGCCTCCCACAGCACAAGAAGACTATAAATTCAAATAAAATTCGCTAAATAATTATTTTTCATCGAATTCACAATAAACTAAAAATTACTCGACTGATTTCGAGAAGCCGTTTTTTACAACTACCTTAACCGTCACTGGCCAAATAAATTCTTCGGCTTCCTGTAATTGGCTGCACTTGTGTAACAATGTGGCTGTTGGAATACACCGAAGTAAAATAAGTCTTGATTTTCTGTCGCTTTTCTGGCTCCTCCACTGTTTTAACTTACAGGGAACTTTCAATCAATTATAGCAATAATTTTACTGGCCATTAAAATTATTCCATTATTCAGGAAAGAGTAGTTAAATAGATTAACAGCCAAGGTATTGTAGTATTATAGTTTTGCGCCATTTCGTTATAATCCCGCTAGGAATATGTTTCAAGTGCCCTGATGCGACCTTATGGTAATTGTTGGTACTATTTTAAGGTGGTAATCATAAAATATTTAGTTTACAAATATTTAACACCGCTCGATTACTACTATTTAGGTATTATCTTTTTGCCCTCCCCCCCCCCCCCCCCCCCCCCCCCCCCAGTTATAGTCCGTTCCTAACTGTTCGTTTGTTTTAGAGTTCGTTTGTTTTAGTGTGTACATGTAAAGTAAGCGTGCATCAATGGAAGTGATAAGTAACTGTTAAGCGAGCACTAATATACGTATGTCTTGAAAAGTGTGATTAATATGAAAAAGTGCAATCAAAACGAAAAAGTGGGATTAATTTGAAAAAATGCAACCAATATGAAAAGGTGTGATTAATTTGAAAATTGTAATCAATATGAAAGCTGGTTCACAGCTTTCCATTATATATATTTAGTAACTTATCCATAACAAAAAGGCCGCACGCATTAAATAGTCTTAATATTTCTCCAACACCTTACTAATCATTTCTCTGTTTGTTACCAATGTGACTCACCTACTTACATGTTTTTAAATTCGTAATTTTCAATTAAATAGTGGCCGCCTGCATAATATGCATTGCTGTGATGCAAATGATGACTAGTTCCTTCTAGCTGAAGCTCCACACTCCGTAACCCTCACAGCTAAGTTACGTTTATTAGGCAAATGGGCGCTGTGTAAGAATACTAATACCTTACTCGGGAATATTATGACTGGGATAAAGTGGTGGGTTTAGGAAAATTCCGCCACATTTTTCCCGGTCATTAATTTTCCCAGTCATAAATTAACCCGCTATTGTGTTCCCGAGTAAGGTAAACTAATAGTAATACATTTTGATGCTTGGTGGCTTTTGGAAAATTCCGCCATATTTTCCCCGGTCATTAATTTTCCCAGTCATAAATTAACCCGCTATAATATTCCCGAGTAAGGTATTCGATAATAGGAGAGAAGACGTTGAGGTGAGCTCTATAATTGAGCTGCATAAAGGCGAAGGGTTTAAATCGGGACTATTATACTTACTCCTCCCTCATGGAGTGCTAAGGCACAGTTGACCACTGACCAGAGTCATTATTCTCAATATATTTCAGTAGAAATTGTTACGTTTCACGCTCCATCTTCTCGTTTCGTTTTCAACCGTTCGCGTTGGTTTCATTTAATCGTATTGCAACACTAAATTAGAAGTAAGCGTGTCGTCGGGACGTTTTTCTACCAGCGGCAGTAATTATGTATATTTTTAGCCATTTTGTGTCCTCATAACCAGATGAATTCCGAACCACTGCACCGGCAAACCGAACAGATTAGAATTCCCCTAATTATGCAGTTCGATTAGGCACGTGGCCTGGAAAGCCGATAGTAGAGCATGTCCAGAGGGGCCGTCAATTATATATCACATTTAAAAAGTGGCATGTTCGATTTCATAAAATCGCAGAGGACTAGCTGCCTGGAAATTTGGTAGATATGGTGAGACACGTTTATCCACATGTTAAGCTAGCTGTCGCGTGCTGGAGGGATAATTAAATTCAACGCCGCGCCAGGCTGCTTTACTATCATTGCTCCTAAAATTCAGAAAGACTATTTCTAATATTAAGCTCGCCTCAGTTAACGCTTTAATGATTTGCGGAGAGCTGCGATGCACGTTTTGATTTGATATTAACTACTCCTGGCTCTGCTAGCAGTAGTAATAGGTAGTAGGCATCAGGCGTGATATGACCGGGGACAGGATTCTTAAGGCGTGAGGTCAAGCAACTACTTACATTTTATTAATTATCTTTCAATATTACTGGCCAATGTTGCTGGAGCTTCGCTGGAAATGAGAAATCTCTTACTTAATTTTCTCTGACATATAACAACTCTTTACTGACAATTCCCACAATTTGACTTCCATTCGAGTGCAGTGTGCCAAATCTCTATCGTTTAAGGACTGCCATCCTCTTTTTGAGATTTCTCCGATCATTGGAAAAATTGCATTTCTCTATGGCCAAAAACACTGTTTTACGATTTTCACAAGGTTACAACCTTCTCATTTGGAGGACGGAGGTGAACAATGTGGGGTATTACTATTGTGTATGTAAAAACTAATCCCCGGTTCCTTATGTTGCCGGCCATGATTAACAAAAGTTACCCCAGTTTTTACTGGTTTAAGAGCAATCACGTGCATTCATACCCCGACACCCTGTGAACCGTCTGCACCAGCTAATAGTAATTGCACGCTAAACGTTATATGATCATGTAGACCCTTTCAGTTCTTCAGAAGTGGAGAACTATTTCTCCGGTCTGATACGTGAGGTTGACCAGTAATAACGCGATATCTCACTAAATGAATCCGTAGCTCAACGCAGTATTTCGGATATTTCGAAGACCATAAGCGAAATATTTATGTAATTTAATATGATACGATAGCGCTTTCGGTGAGTGAAAACTCTCATTTCGTCCTCAGTAATCGATCATTTATTGAGTTCGCTTCAAATATGTTCCGTTCAATTCATATCTAAATTAATTTCGTCGTTATTTAAGTTTTACTAATCCCCACCCTACAGAGTAGATTTGGACAGCTGTTGGTTAAGATGAGCTGGCGTGTACTAGCAGGTATTAATCAATAATAACATCGTATGAATGTATGACATTTCCATAATGAAAGTCTCAGATCATGTCAGGTCATTTTTACGAAATAATCTTACTTAAGACCCACCTCAGTCTTACAGTAACACACATTCCAGTGCTGATAACGTGTCTGGGACTTTCAACACAAGACGAACTGACGGAAGTGGGGTGTATCCTCAAGTACCATCAAGACCATAAGTTTACAGTGTCCTCTACTTTGATTAAGAAGGCAAGGAGCCTCGTTGCTACTTCCAGAAGAAAACGATCAGGTAAAGCTACATCCAGCAATTTGTTCAAAGTTTTAGACACAAATTCCAAACTACTAAAACCATAACAGAAACCAACCACCTCACTTTTTTGGAATAAACCAATCTCTCCTTCTCCAGGTGTCCTAGAGCAACAATACGTGATGACGATAACGAGCGCCGAGACGGCTTGCTCCGAATACAAGCTCAAGTACCAGGACGATATCACAGATTTTGAGAAGGAGTTCGAGGGAGAAAACAGGAAGTTTGTTGGCTGTGCGATAAACACACAAACTAGCAAACTTGCCTGCAGCTACGCGTTCGTGCTAGTGGCTTAATATGTTGAGCTCTATTTTAAATTGAGCGGAGAGGACAGTGAATGTCGACCTGGACAATGACTTTTAACTGTATCTATTTATTTGATATTATTTATTGGTCTGATTTCTGAACGTTCATTGTGTAGATGATTGATCTTACCGATTTTAATTCAATTCTCGATCTTCATCACGTTTCCACATTGCATTGTAGTTCCAACAACTAGGACGGGTTGTTCTGAAATATACAAAATAAGTCACCCAAATAAGAAAACGGTTTGTCAAACATGATTCCAGAGAATTGAGTCAGTAACGCTAGTTGGGATCATGAGTGTTCACATCGATAACGCAGAGTTTATTCATCATACAATGTCTTGCCTAGAAAGAGGCTTCAATTTATTATAATCTGTCTTACCTGTTCCTGTCACACTTGGGTCTTTGAGGTCCATGGTGCAGAGCAGCACATGCCATTCCGTACTGAAACATTAGGTCATTGTAAATATAATTCGAAGGCAATACTTGAATTAATACTTTAGTGGGTTTTATAAGTCAGTAAAGAGACGAATCGACACGAATCTTCAGTCCGCCCGTCATAATATCATCATACAAATAAAACTGATCTGGAATAATGTAGAATGTCGTACATTATACGGAATACAATACTGAAATCGAATCTGACTTACCAGTTACCACTCGCGTTGTTGCATAGACATTGGACTGTGGTATATTTTGTGCAATATTTTCCTCTTTCAATGGCCTGAAATGATCGTAGATTTAAGGATCTCTCGGTCGATTTCTCAGTGAGAAGAGTTATCAGTGAAAGGATCAGTAACGCTAGTTGGGATCATGAGTTTTCACATCGATAACGCAGAGTTTATTCATCATTTTAAAATTCAGTTACTTAAAGGTAAACCGGAATATTAAGAAATTCTCACCTGAAAGTTACAGTCAGCCTGTCGCTTCCTTTTCCAAGAACACTGAAAATAATCTAAATTAAGGATGGTGCTATTTTTCTCAAGTTGTTAGTTGATTTCCTAGTCATGATATCAGAAATAATAATTCGCTTGGGTTGTAGTAGATCATCGCGCACAGGGGGGGGTCCAAGGGGAACTTTGGGGAGTTTTGGGGAACTTTTTTTTGGGGAACTTCAGGAAACCTGGGGGACTTTCCCAAAGTTCCCCAAAAAATTATCAATGAAACAAATAATTTTGGGGAATTTTGGGGAACTTTTTTTTGGGGAACTTCAGAAAGTTCCCCAAAATTCCCCAAAGTTCCCCAAAAAAATTATCATGCCAAAAAAATTATCATGCTGCAAGTATCAACAAGTAAGTTAAGATTATACCTTATGATAACATACATGTTAACATTAATGGGTATTAATGTATATTAGAGAAATTTTGAATAATTTTGAATAATTTTGAATAATTTTGGGGAACTTTGGGGAGTTTTGGGGAACTTTTTTTTGGGGAACTTCAGAAATCTTGGGGGACTTTCCCAAAGTTCCCCAAAGTTCCCCTTGGACCCCCCCCCCCCCCCCCCCCCCCCCCCCGCACAACGTTGGGCAGCTAATCTTCGGCCTTTTGCGTCATCATAATCATGAAAATAATATGCAGTGACATAACCTACATGATCATTTCGAACGAATTTGTAGATCAACATACCTTAGCTTTGTGGGGAAACCTGAAAAAAACAAAAAAAACTAACCTGATAGCTAAGGACTATGGTAACAATCCTTTCGCTTTCTTCAATTCTCCGACTTAGCTGGAAGAAAGCCGAACTGTGTTGTAGGGGTGTACCCTCAGCTCTGATTGGACCAATCTGTTTTAATCTAAAAGATAAAAAGGTTTTTATAAACGGTTTCGTGAGCCAATAATTCCATTATCTAAAAAACCTTTATCAGAAAAGAGTTGGTTTGACATCACGAAGTTTCAAAAACAGCCTCATAATTTCATCATATATAAACAGCTAAAAGTGTTTTTGTTACAAGTAACAAGAACAGGGTGTCCAGGTGATTTTGAAAATGAAATCTATGAAATGTATGAAATCTGATGTCCCTGGACACCCTGAACTAGAGTAATTTATAACGAGCTAGTATTTACCGATAGTATCAGATAATTTCCTTTGTGATGGACCTGCTTGTCTGGCACTAAGTAAGAGGGTCACTGCGAGCTGAAGCGTGACGTCATTAGAAATCAAATCAAATCTTGAATTGATTTGAATAAATAGGTTTATAATTGTTAAGTCAGTAAAGAGACGAATCGACACGAATCTTCAGTCCGCCCGTCTGAATATCATCATACAAATAAAACTGATGGGAGAAATGTTAAATATTAAATTAATTATCCTGAACACTTTAAAACTAACCTACCAGCAATGTTATCACATTGACTAGTATTGTGCAATCTGGAAATCGTCCTCTGGGCTTAAGTAAACGTAGTTTTCTATAAGTACCACTGGTCACTCCAAGCTGAAAAGTCACTTCATGATAATATAAAACATTTTCGAATTAACTTGAATTAATACTTTAGTGGGTTTTATAAGTCAGTTAAGAGACGAATCGACACGAATCTTCAGTCCGCCCGTCATAATATCATCATACAAAAGGAAAAGTTACAATTAATTGTAATTAATTAAATGTAATAAATGCGGAGTCTACACTTCTTACTTACCACATAAGTTATTCCAATATTCCAGGGACTTTATTGTCAGCTAGTAGATTACAGCTGGTAGATTGACCTGAAGTAATCGTAGATTTAAGGATCTCTCGGTCGATTTCTCAGTGAGAGGAGTTATCAATGAAAGGATCAGTAACGCTAGTTGGGATCATGAGTTTTCACATCGATAACGCAGAGTTTATTCATCATTTTAAAATTCAGTTACTTAAAGGTAAACCGGAATATTAAGAAATTCTCACCTGAAAGTTACAGTCAGCCTGTCGCTTCCTTTTCCAAGAACACTGAAAATAATCTAAATTAAGGATGGTGCTATTTTTCTCAAGTTGTTAGTTGATTTCCTAGTCATGATATCAGAAATAATAATTCGCTTGGGTTGTAGTAGATCATCGCGCACAACGTTGGGCAGCTAATCTTCGGCCTTTTGCGTCATCATAATCATGAAGAGAAAATGCAGTGACGTGATCATTTCAAACGAATATGTAGATCAACATACCTTTATCTTTTTCCCCCAGGTAGGTATAAAAGTTAACTGGGTCAGTTGACATTTTCACGTTGTTAGTTCTGATCAACGGTCATATTTGCAACATGTATTAATGTCTGATCTGGGTCATCTGAAAGATATGATTTAGTTTCATAAATATTTTGGAAATTCTATAATCTTATTATTAGTGTGACATTTATCAGAATAGAGTTGGTTTGACATCACGATTTCTCAAAAACAGCCTCATAATTTCATCATATATACAAAGCAAAAACAGTTAAATCAATTAAACTCGTCGTATTTACCGAAATATGATGTTGAATATCTTCCCCGCTGCATCTGATTGTCTAAATTCTGAAAGATATGACACGTTTTCATTACCAATTTTATTAATAATCTTTCTACCAAATCGGCGCAAACTTTTGTCAGAAAAGAGTTGGTTTGACATCACGAAATTCTCAAAAACAGCCTCATAATTTCATCATATATATTAAACAGCTAGAAGTAATCAATAAAAATGATCGTTGAATTTACCTTAAGATAAAAGCGATCACATTTCGCCCTGTGCCTTCTCGAGATTCTGTTCAACTAGGACTTCATCTTATTCTTCACAACCTTGTAACCTAAAGTGGTTACGTTTTATTAACTTGATTTCACTCAATTTATTCACCTTAACAATGTAAATAATCAGATTGGGTTGATATCCTGCGAACTCTGCGACATAAAACCGGCCGAAAAACTCGGTTAATTTAGTGTCAAAAAGAGCTCTCAAACAAATGCCTTCAGAGTCATCATTTCAATAGAATACGAATGAGCTACGAATTAGTCATAAAATTAACTTACACGTTTGAGCTTCCTTCTTCAGTCATGTACCCAGCAAATCTTAGGAAAACCTGGAATGTAATTTTGATTAGAGGTAAGTAAGGCGAACCAATTAACGATCAGCTGAGATACTGACAGTCAGTATTGCAGAATACAATCACATGGCGAACCGTAGTGTGAGTACAGTTCTCAGAATTTATATTTGTCATCATTTTAGTTGTGCGATATTTGCATTTGGTGCATTAAATAACAAAATTAAGCACCTACCCGACAACCACCATGCCAGTATCCGTACTTTGTGGCTAGCCAATGATATCACTCGATTCTAACCAATGGCTTTGCTTTCGAAATCTGAGAGTAATACCCGTCAGACAAAGTTATTCTCAAAATCGTCGTGGGTGACCCGGTAAATATACCTGGTAAATGAACATACCAGTCTAGGAATAAATGTCAAGCCAAGATAGAACAGAACAGTCCACAGTATTTGAAGAGTCTGGATCCTTGGCTCAGTCTGTGTGGCTAGCTTATACAGCTCGGTGACCAAATGGGTGATCACTAAGTGAAATGAAGTAGCAGCGGCTAAATAACCAGTTTATTGCTATTGTTACATAGTTTAGAAATATACCTCGTGTAAGTAGGGATGTAAGGTGTTTTGTCCCCCATAGTCTTGAGAAGAGTCAGGGATGCCTGAAAAACAGAAATTTAAGACGTAAAACAAGCAAGACTCCTGGAGAACATATTATATTGCTCATTCAGGTGAGTAAAGATGAAGTCTTCACGGTCTTTCTAGAAGTTAAGACTTATCATCAAGTTAGAATCGGAACAACGCTGTATAAATTAAGTGTTTTTACCAACCTCGCAAAACATCAGTCATCAGGGTCAGGATCGAGTGGTAACTTAGAATCACTCAGAGAGAAATCCCTCCGAACTTAAGCGAGCGTTCTACTGATTCAAAATACTCGGTTCAACCTGAAATTGGTTGCATTAAAATCCGTTTTGACAGTGAAAAGCCCTCTATTTCGCCACATATTCAGATTTATGCAAGTAATCACGGTCTTTCAGTTTAAACTAAATGGGCACATCACGTACTTAAGAGTAAAATGGAACGATTCAAATCAAATTATTCTTACCTAATCATAAATCTCCAACATCCAACAAAAATGTACTCCGGCGAAATGTGCGGATCAAGGATACCTGTAAAAATAAGTAGGTTAGTTGAAATTTAGTTAGAGACGGATTTCAATAATGCTAGAGTTTATCAGAGCGACATTGGATTTTCTCCAGGGTTCATACAGTAGAACGAAAGTTATTTTAGTCATCATTGTAATAAATAGTATCGAAATCTATTATGATAAGGATGACCTACCACAATAATTGCCTTATCTCGTCCGCTTGTTCAAACTTCAAATCTTGTATCGCCTGCTTCTGAAACGTGAAGACGTATTTTAGCGGAGAGCCAGACAAAAATCAAATTATTCTCGTTTCAACTTCAAGATCATGCTGTGAGGCAAAAGATGATAAAGCAGACGATGCAAAAACAGAAAATTCAGAACATCATCAGGGAACAGCCTCGTGAGGTATTCTGACAAGAGTGCAAAATTCATTGAAACAATCCAACAAATAATCGTTCTTGCCGACAAGACGTAATCTTAAATATTCAAGCTAGAAGATAAGACCCAGACTCACCTATTATATCGGAGACTTTAGTTTTCACCGAATCTGAAAAATTCAAACGTCAGTTATTCAGCACATAAGTTGGGAGCATTTCATGGAAATTTCCAGAACATGTCATCATGTGAGGTGGCTATACTGGTGCAAGGGTAAAACTCGACCCCGCCCCCCTCCAAGCCACTAATAGTCAAGTAGCACAACCTCTTATTGCAGTCTTAAACAAAAGATAAGAGCTTTTCGTCGCGAGTGTGCACAAGGGAGAAGTAACTTTACAAAGAAAACTACTAACCTTCTTTGTGTGGGAGATATTTGTGTCTGCGGGAATGTTTTCCGTGTCTGCGGGAATGTTTTCCATATACGTTGTGTTCATGTCCACTCGAGCCAGGCTATCCATTGCTGTGCTAAGGGGTTAAAATGGTTAGTTACATTAAAATGAACGCATGAAACATCAGAGCGAAGGTCTACGAGCCTTAAAAGGTTTGGAGATTATGCCATCTAAAAACAAGATTAACTCATGACAGTAAGACCTGTGCGTCTCTTGGGTGATACGTAATGCCAAAATAGCAATACGTGACCTTGTAGAGAACAACTTTTTCTAGGCTCTTTTTTGACTGGAACAAGAATGTAGCCTTGTCCCAGCTTCGAAAAGGCCAATATTGATTGTAAGAGACTGAGTGAGAAACACGGAATATTGATATATTTTTATTTTTACTCGGAGATACAGAATAGATATTAAAACTTAATTTAATCAGTAGTTAGATAAGACATAAAAAGGTAAAAATGTTATGAAATACGTTAAAAATCAACTTGAAGATTTAAAATAAAACATTACTGATAAAATGACGTCATGTCGTCATAGAAACGTCCATGGGTCAACAGGTTGTCACTATAGCTACGGTGACGTCACTTACTTAAAACACTACTGTTCATGATTCTGGAGTGATTTGGTGAAACTCTTCAGTTTCTCCAACACTTCTTCTCTGTACAGATCGTCTTTGATGAGGTTTTTGGAACAGTCCACCACTAGCACAGGTACTTTAGACAGGCTGAAACATAACTTGGATTATTATTGATACACTCCACGGCTATTTGAATTGAGACACAAATGTTAGTGTTACATGGCTCCAAGTTAAACAGCGATGCTGAATATTCAAGTTATGGAGCCATGTCTATTAGTATAGCTGATGTCTCTTAGCTTGGTGCCTAATTGGCACCAAGGCTGTTTCAAAAGCATGTCAAAGCAATAAAGAAATGCGAAGTAAAATGCTAACCTAGGAGGGATGTTGACAGATTTCTGGATGAGCCACTCTTCGTGTCTATCATGAATCTGTTGAAGGTACTCTAGAGTAACGCTTGTCTCCTCACTGAAACGAGTTGTCATGGTAACTGGTCAGTTGTCAAGGAAACACACCCAGAGTTCAGTCAGAACACAGACAGCGGAGTGTTGTTATTATTAAAAATATGACATGTGCAACATGAAGTCGGCCGGTTCGTTCATTTTATGATTATTTTGCCGTTCGACGGGACTGGCCTGTATTATGTTCAGATAAGATCCGAATAAAGAAATGAACTCGTGGCAATCATATAAATATTTACCTTCTGCCTCTAAGCTGGAGCCTCTCCAAACAAATCTCCGGAGATGTTTTGAGGTATAAAATAGCATCAGGACAAGCATCGGGGCACCGTTCCAAGGAGAAGGAGTGCTGGTGACAGTAGAGCGAGTACTCTAAATCTGATATTACTCCTTGCTTGTACAGATTCCGGGCGAATACCAGTCTGTCACCCCAAACTGACCTCTCTGTCAGGAATGATCTGAGAAATAGTTGGGTTTAGTGGGTGGTGATTACAATCAGGGGTTTTAGATTTGTGAGGGGAATAAAATGTTGAAAAGGTATGAAACCTAGTGCCATAAGAAACACGAGGGCAATATGCAGATCCTTTATTTACGCTCTTATGTTCAGAGATATGACGAAATATCACATTCTGTTTTACTGAAGCGACCACAAGTCACAGTTAAAACGGTCCCACTTACCCGTCATGACAGTTATTCTCTTTGTCCTCGTAAAAACCCTTTACCCGGCTGAAAATAACAAACTGCTGAAACGTCAGGCCCCATCTAGAAGGATTCAAATAGAAGTTTTCCAGGAGATTGCTGTGAGCCTTGGGGTCGCATTCTGCTTCGAGAGGGACGTGGGTCCAATCGCAGACAGGCTCCTGCCAGGCAGAAACTGGAATTATTGGAATCATTGCTATATGACAGCGATAGTCGATACCGGAGTAGAATAAGATCAAAGTTATGTTTTGTTAAAAGTTTTGATGGCAATACAAGTCAGTTCATCATGATATTGATATGCATTTATACAGCTTTTTTTCTACGTGATAAACTTTAAAATGTTACCAAAAAACAATCAAGGACAAACCTGGAAGGTTTTGAGGTCCGTATATTTGCTGACCAACTGAAGAAATGTGCTTTTCCCAGCAGCTATGTTACCCTCTATTGAGATCTTTAGGGGACCATTCCGAGCTGAATACATAACCCTAACAATGAAAATGGGTTAGGTTGTGGACATCTTTTGGTTGAAATTCAAATGGCTACCATACTGAAAAACGAAGAAATTAATTCTATGATTGGGGATTGGTTAGTATTTCACATAGAACGGCAGAAGGAAATTTCCTGGGCATTAATAGGGAAGCAGTAAATGAAGACAGGTAATGGTAAAACAACACAGTTATTTTGAAGAGGATAAAATAAAAACATAAACAGTCAGTGGTTTTCAGATTGTTGTCACACTATATATCAGTTGATGTCAAATTAAACAGAACATGCAGAAAAATTATAAACATCAATAAATTTAGCTTTGGTTTCAATAAACATGAATAAATTGGTAGAAATAAAATTCAATCTCAGGAACAGATTGATGTAAAAACTGGCAGAAATCTTAAGAGATGAAAATACACGTTGGTAGAAAGTTTGTCAAAATTGCAGTTCAAAGTTGATTTGCTAACCGCCACTTACGTTAGGTTTACTGATCAAAGCAGCAAAGTCCAGCACATCTTTCAACGTTTTCTGTCGTCGCTCAGTGTCATTAATCAGATCTTTGAGCAGTCGACGATGAGAGTAGGTTTCCTGCTGATGTTCTCTGGCACGTCCACTTTCTTGACAAACCACTCCTCGTGTCGGTCGTTGATCTGATCCAGATATTCCTGGGGAACGGAATCTTCCTCTGCCCGCGCTCTTGTCTCAAGGCGCTTCATACAGATTTCAGCACTGCAACGTAGATAGATGAAACCGTCAACCTGTCGAAATAATAATAGGTTAGTTTGGGACCTGATAAGAGTATGAATAACGAAACTTTTATGAAAAATAAGATATTATCGAGGTTTAAAAAGTACTTAGACAAAAAGGAGACAAAATAAATCTTCGAAACTCACGTCAGTTTCAGAGTTATCATCCGTGAGGAAAGAGTGCCACTTGCAGTAAAGACTGTACTCCAGAGGTGTCATGATGTTTGTCTTCAGTCCGTTCCTCCCAAACACCAACCTGTCACTAAACACACTCCTCTCACACAAATACACTCCCTTGTCCTCAAACTCTAACTTTGGCTGGTTCTTTACTCGGCTGAACAGGGCGTAGTTCTGGAATGTGAGAGCCCAACGTTTTGGATCCTCGTAGAACTTCGCTAGCAGTTATTCTCTGCTCCCTGGTCAACCTCCTTGTCTAACTTAATGCTGGTCCAGTCTATGACTGGTTCAGGGCACATCTTCAGGCCACCCTCTTCGGACATGAGCTTGAGAAAGGTGGATTTTCCAGCGGCGATGTTACCTTCCACTGCCAGTTTTACGTATCCTCGAGATGAAAGCCAAGCTGCGGGCATGTCCAGTCGTAGTTTCTTTGGCGATCTGACGGGTGACATTGTGACCTATCTCTAAATAATAGCTCTTCATATTGAGGGCCAGGGAAATTTAAGGGATTGCTGAGTGACATTATGTTAGAAGGAGCAACAATTTGTTCATGTTTGATATCAATTTCAAATAAAATTACAAGACAATACAAGTACATATAACTCAAAAAAAACTTACAATAAATTCTGCGATACAACCAAAAAGATGGGAGCTCTATTAGGGCAAAATATCGAATTATACAGCAAAAACTAATACAAAAAGTAGATGCAAAGTCCGATGTTAAACAGTCTGCGGTCAATAGAAGTTCATTTAATTATGACATAGAACTTTCTTTCTTGGGAGTTTCTTTGGCGGCAATCTTCTCTTTAGCCTGACAATAAAATGTACGTCAAGTCTTTTTTATTGGATTTAGTTGTAATAAAGAAGATAAGGTTCTGGCTGACTTCGAAGAAACAGTTTCTAGATTAGAGAAAACGAAAAGTATGTGGACAGGAAAGGAATATTCATAAGATATCTTGCAAAACTGTTAACGACAGCTGGAAGCTATCGTGGAGAAATGAAAATGTGTGCGCGCGTGAAAAAGTTGTCCAAAGTTGGGCTGACAGTGTGGGCGACTTTACGATTGAATATCGCCGCGCCTTACGCAAACTAAACCAAAAACTGCGACCAAAATTGTCACAATACTTGCCGGTATACTTTCCCTGTAAATTATAACCCAGTGCAAAGAATGATATAAGTTGGACAAACCTTCAGGGTGAGGGGTAGTAGCATTCCTTTCTCTGACAGAATCTTGAGCATTTCCATTATCAGCGGTAAATAGTTGTGTTTCCGCCGAATGTTCTCGATCTGAAACCGACACAAACTTAAATTAAGAATTAGCTGGGTGCATGCGGAACACCAATATGTATTGGGGGTGAATGTAAAAAGAGGACTGACCAAAGTATTATTATCTAAAACTGTGGGTAATTATTCTTCTAAGTAATCTAGCACTTCTGAAAGGCTTGACGAACATAGTATCCGCCACGCGGCAAAGAGTGCAGACTTAATTGTACGTAAGTGTACTTACTGAAGCCAATAAGTAATTAATTGTTTGGCTAAAACTAACCTTATAATTAGCACGTTTCTCCTCTTCAGCTCTTATCCTCTCCTTAATATCCATAGCAGCTCCCTCGCTCCCAGACAAGCTCTCCAACTGTTTCTGTAAGTCCAACAACTTATCTCCCACCACGGCCATTAGGTTAAAGGTTATCTCAGTGGCGGCGTGTTTCGCAATCCTGTTCTGAAGGATTGGTCTGACTACAGTTATCCAGTCGTCGGTGTAGGAGCCGTGGTCTATTGGACCAGGTTTTAAACCGTCCAACTCGTAAACTCGGCCTGAAGGGGTAAGATCGTTATTATATTGTGGGGATTAAAAATTAAAAGCGTAACATTAAATATTTACCCTTAGATTTGCACGATGACCGATAGAAAAAAATAATGAGGAATAATGTTCAACTCGTTGGTGACACTAAATTACGACTCTTCTGAACTCAACCGTGAAAGTCTAACCTAGATTTATAAATTTGGGAACAGGTTCATAAGCGAAAGACTAACCTTTAAATGGTACGAAGGCTACAAAATGGTAAACATCGTCGTCCTTTTCAGGAATCTTGCTATCGAACTCAAACATGTTCTGTCTTGCGAAACTGTTGTGAACCTCTCTCAACCTATCTGCGTTAGTTAGAGACATTCCTTTCAGGGCAGGATCAAATGCAGAGGTGAAATCTTTAAACTGAGTCAACGTATCACCTGTTTGGGAAGAGGTTCAAGATCAAAAACTTGAATTTCAATACGGTATGATGACGAGAGTGAATGATTTATCTGTAAAAAGAGGACTGACCAAAGTTTCATTATCTAAAACTGTGGGTAATTATTCTTCTAAGTAATCTAGCACTTCTGAAAGGCTTGACGAACATAGTATCCGCCACGCGGCAAAGAGTGCATCAGAAAACCGAACGGGTCATAGGTGTTTGTGATAAAGATTATGTCAAGCAAGTATGTTTTGAACAGCACAAGAAACTATTAGATGCTGATGTAAATGAAGACTGACCTATATTAATTTCAGGGTTCTGGATGTTCAGTAGGACGCTGATAATTGCTTGGGTAGCACACGCATTGTTGATCACCTGTAAAGAAATATTATGTATGACGTAATATATATGTCAACAACCAAATTTCTATCCTGAAATTATATATCTATTTGTAGAGAAACATTTGTAGAAAAGGTATGAAACCTAGTGCCATAAGAAACACGAGGGCAATATGCAGATCCTTTATTTACGCTTCTATCGCCAGAGATATGAAGTATCATAGTGAATAGTCTGATTAATTGCAGAAGCGAATATTTACTATTGAGTATTGAGAGAACTATCAAGAATATTACAAATTGAGTAGAGCAGTCAAATATGAGAGTGCAGTGAACTGATTTAAAATATTATTAACTAATTAAACTTTATTAAGTTTCAACCTGTTTGGCGAAGAACACCTCAGTGTCTCCGAACAAAACTTTTCCTTGCTCCTCAGCTTCTCCTTTCCATTTGAACAGGAATATCAATCCGTATATTGGCCTGAGTGTTTCAGTGTTAATTTGGTTACTAAACATACATACGAAGTCAGCATTAATAGTCATGGTGGTGCAGAATGACCTTTAAGAAAAATAGTCTAGTCCAGAGAAGGACCTTCGCGAAGAAAAATAGGCATGCCAAAAAAAAGGGATTTCCAGGATAAGCGTGAAAACAGAAAACTACTTACACTCACTTGAGATCCGTGAAAGCACACTCATCCAGTGACCACAGCTCCTCAACTTGCAGACCATTGCAACCTGTACAATATAGTCGTTATTACTTGTGTAAAATAGCAGAAAAGTTCGCACTTGACAGGAAAAGAATGATTAGACGGCTCCTCGGGCTAAATTAAATCGTAAATGGGATTAAAAGCTTACCGAAATCCTTGATAAGCTCACTGAAAACTCCCGGGTCAGACTCAATCAGACACCACTGTCCGTTCACTGCCATGTTTCCTTCTTACCCTTATCACATACTAACTGCATAGACATTTCGTTAAGTAAATCTTGTACCAGTAAACTAATCTGCTAAAATTGTTAACAGATAACACACATTTGATCTACAATACTTTAACACAATGTTAGCATGTTTTTGTGGAGAGAGTTGCCTACACTTTTTCGCATGCTCACAAAGTACAAGTGAGTGCAAAATAAAACGTAAAAATCAGCTTCTATTTTAAGGGGTTGAAGTAACTTCGTACTGAGGCCGTCGGATGGCAAGTCTTAAAATAATAACATATGAATGGTAAAACAATCGTAAAATGCTGACAGAAATTACACTATTATACAACAAATAAATACCCTTGCAGCCAAACTGTAAATTCTCAAGTCCATCTCAGATTTTTCATGGATTGTTGAATCTCGAAAATACACATTTGCAAAATGAACATTTAAACGAACAAAATGTGCTGCTGGATGAGATAATTCTTTCTTTTCTTCTTTTCTGATCACAGCATTTCAGGGACAATGCACAAGACGTCAAAATAATTTATAAATGGAATAATTTATCAAGATTTGATGCGCCATTTTTTAGTCCATATCCATAGATTCCACCTCAAGCAATTTCTTTTTCTCTTGCAGTTTCTGTTTCGTTTTGTTGAGAGCTGCATTATACAATTGCTCTTCAGTAACCTTGGGTTCAATAAGATGAATGTGATGTTCTACTTCCTTCTCATCGTCCTTCAGTTCGAGCTTCTTACCAGCCTTCAGTCTCTGTTTAATAAACTGGTTTTGTCTTTTTGCTCTAATTTCTTGTATTCTTTTCATTGCGTGGATTGTGTTTTTCCATAATTCTCTGTTGTACTTAACTGGAACGCTCCGTTTCTTCTCCAGATCAAATGTGGAATCCTGAAAGGTAATTAGAGGTGATGATAAGGAAAAATAGAACTATGTAACATGAAATATACAGATCACAGGTCTTGGTTTAAATCAAATCAGTGAAATTTCAGTTTAAAAAAAGCATATTTTAGGGCATGACACAAATTTGGGGGCTAGAAAAATTTAGATGGGGGCATATGACATAGGTATGTTACACAAATGCACTAGTATCAATATTTTAAACTTACAATTGCCAATTCTTTTCCATGTGATTTTCTAAATGCTTTGGTCCACTTGACTTTCCTTGGGTTACGTTTCATCTTGAAAGCCTTGTGACACTTTGACCGGCAAAATCTGAACATCTGAAGAAAGAAAGTTTCAATACAGAAAATTTCGATAATGAATACCAGAACAGGTAACAGTGACATTATCACAACTTCATCAGTTCAAACTGGGATTACAGTTAAATTTAAGAAAAAATACAAAGCACCAAATCAGTCAACATACCTTACAATCATTACGGACGAAGTTGATTCCATGTCCAGGGTGGACGTTTGAAGAACAGAAGTAACACTTTTCGATTCTCATAGCTTAATTAATAGTTTTTAAAATAGGATTATTATGTTTTTGATACATTTTTATAAAATATTGTATTTGATAAATAATTAAATGTTGGTGGGGATATATTTATTATATATATTTTTTCAGACTTGTGTGATAATGTGATGTCATAAATTTTATTTTACTTTGGATTATGAAAAGAGTCTGTACAATTTGCTATAGTAACATAGGTAGTTTCACGATTAGAAAGACTCTTTAAGTTGTATAGTGGTTTGGTCTATGTGGATGTACTGAATTGGTACCTTAAAAGATTATTGATCTTTTGACAGGGCCACTCTTTAAGGTTCACCTGGTCTATCTATCTCTGATGTCTCTACAACAAAGACGTGAGCGATTCTTCATTCTGCACATGGGGAAAATCCTCCACGGAAAGACCAGCAATGATCTGAACTTTCAATGTGTGTCACGCCCAAGGCTTAGAAACCTAGCAGTTATTCCATCAAAACGTAGAACCAGTTCAACAGCTTGTTTGAAAACCCATTTATAGTTCAGGGACCTGGATTGTGGACTACAATTCCCTACCATTTGAATGTCATTCAAGAGCTAGAGCACTTCAAATATAAGCTTGCAAAATTCATGTTGTTTCTCCCTGATAAGCTGCCGATAAGGGGATACACTCCTCTAAATACGAACTCTCTGCCGTGCTGGCACATCGAGTGAGACTTTACTTTGTTGTGGGGTGGTCAAAAGATGTGATGGCCCCATCAAGCATTGACGAAACTTTAACATGGTCCACATAGGTAGGTCATAGAACCAGTGGCGTAACGTTGCCTGTTAGCGCCCCCCTGCCGAAAAGGCGCCTCCCCCGTTGGCGCCCCCTCCCCTTTTGGTGCCCCTCCCTAAAATTGAACAAATTAGGTGATTTTAGAGGATACGCCGGTAAAATCTCTAAAAAAGTGTGTATCTAGAGCAAAACGCGCAGTTTTGCTAGTACTTTAGTTAAGTTTTCGAAATTGTCCCACATTCAAACGACGATTTGGCGCCCCCCTAAGACGGCGCCCCCCTGCACAGCGGGGTCAGCAGGGCCCTTCGTTACGCCACTGCATAGAACTAGGGAATTCGACTAGTACTATTTTTTTTAGTATACTCGTTTAATACGTTGCTATTTTTTGTCTCCCTTATCTTTAAAAGCTTATCAGCCCGATACTGCTGCATACTGTGGCGGTTTGTGTACATATTGGAAATAGTACATATTATCGAGTACATTTGAAGAATAAGACGTGTACATTTGAAGAATAAGACGTGTGAACTGTCAATTTTTGTCAATATGGAAACAGAGAATCAGATTAAAACTGCGATTAGGGGCCTGCTTCTCCGGGCAGAGTCTAATGTACTAGTTAAACGTGTCCTCACTGCATTTGATCCATTTGCTAAGCGTACCGTCAACTACAAACAACTGAATCAGTTCAATCTCGATATTCTGGAGCCATGTGCAGAGTTTCTCAGTATTAACCTTGCAGACGAAGATGACAATAAACTGTACACCAAGGAGTCATTGGTATACCGCATCATATTTGGTATCTCTTCACTTCTTCCAACTTCCTGCGGTGACTGCAACGAATCATATGTTGTCGAATTGGATGCTGAAGAGCCACCCTTATTTGTTTGCTACACATGCTTCCGGGGTTCTCACAACTGCGAGAATGTCAAAACTTTCCACAAATGTATGTTGGAAGCATCTATAATCAGTCTCCTATCTGGGCACGTGTGGATGTGTAAGGACTGTAAAGCTACACATAACCCCCTCAAACCCAGAAAGTCTAAATCAAGACATAACAGCGTCACCAAACCTGATCCCACACTATCCAGGATTATGAGTGAGCTTAAAAGTCAGACCTCCTCCCCTACTCATCAGTCTTGCAATCAAAGTGTTGTTGAACCTGAGTCTGAGGAGAATAGTCAGACAACTCATATTGATCAGCACAATTCTCTCGACGAAGACTTTCAATCCAAACTTCAAGATAAACTTGAAATAGTGGCTAAGGATCAAAATGTTTGTCCGCAATACAAGAAGGGAAAATGTCCTCATGGCCTGAAAGGCAACAAGCTTGTAGACGGCAGTCCATGTGAGTTCAATCATCCCAGATATTGCCCTAGATTTTGCAGCTTTGGCAACCAAAACAAGGGTGGTTGTAAGAAAGGAGCTAGGTGCCAGCTCGTCCACCCAGTATTGTGCAAATACTCAGTCAAGAATAAACTTTGCACCAACCTTGAATGCACGTTTATTCATCTGAAGGGAACCAGACGAAAAGAGGCTAGGAGTACAAACGCGAATGAGAAGCGTCCCAGCCCCGAGCGTTCAGATTCAGTCCCAAATGATTCTAAGGATCATTTTTTAGAGTTGAGAGGGCTGGTCGAGACAATGCAGTCAAACTTCCTTCGGGAGATTGCAGACATCCGATCCGGCCTGGTCAATACTCTTTACCAACAGCAGCAGATGCAACAAATGTCGAGGTATGCTCTCCCACCTCCAACAGGAGCGGCACTAAACCAGTATCATCACATGCACCAGCCGCAGTTTCAACAAGCGTACCTTCTGTCGCAGAGACCACCCAACATGCCTCCAACCATGCCCTTCATTCCTCCTGCATGCTCCTAAATGTGCAGTCAATGAACCCGAGTGCAAACAGTACAAGCAAGTGGAAAGTCCCTGAAATCATTTCCTTCGTTCAAGAAGAAAAGTCAAAAAACCACTCTCTGCCTTTTATTGCACTCACCGAGACTTGGCTTAAGTCTTATATATCAGATGCACAATTACACGTGCCTGGATATGTGGTTTCCCGCTCGGACCGAGATGCTAGAGTGGGTGGAGGTGTGCTCCTCTACTCCCATATGAACATTCCTGTTAGTGAATGCCACACCTTTGATGATGGTATTTGCGAAGGAATTTTCTGTCGTTTTGACACCATCAAGACGTGCTACGTCGTGGTTTATAGACCACCAAATGCCCAAGTGGAAAGTTTTACCGCACTCCTGAAGTTTGTGTCAAATTGTATACAAAAGGTCAATGACGACAGTTTTGATCATAACATAACGGGGGACTGTAACTTACCTGCAATTAACTGGGAAACTTCAACTTTGAAATCAGACGGATTTTCAGAGATGCACAAATCATGCCGTGCCCTTTTGTCATTTATGTCAGAACATTTCTTAAGTCAATACGTCACATGCCCAACTAGAGGTAATAATGTTCTAGACATATTCTAATACTTTCAACACTACTATATAACAAATAATTTGAGGACTAGCAATGGTTATGTTAACAATGAACTAGAGACCTTGTTTGGACGATGGGGGGCTCAAGGAGGATGGATCACTGCTCCTAGAAAATGAGTTGAGTTGTCAGTTCGGTTCGTCATGTGTTCACATACCACTAGTCGCTACACCTAATAAAAAACCATTGCTAGTCCAAAAAATTATATAGTAGTGTTGAAGTATTCCAAGATAGGCATTCTCTGAATACCTGTCTTAACAAATTTTTTGCCCTGAATTTATTTATTTTTACTCTGAAAATTCTGCTCAAACAATTTTACCTACACACTTAACAATTTCAAACCAAATCACCCCATCCAAACCCAGTTTGTCCTGTTGTTGTTAGTGTGTCTGACCTTTGAATGATTTACATATTTTTGAATACTTCAATCACTCTTTTGAAAGTTCTTGAAAAAATTCTATTCAATCATATTCCCACTTAACCCACCTCATATCACTCACAATGAACCGGCTGATGCTCTTCTCCTTTCAGGTGCAGGGGTCTGTCCAAGCTGGCCCCCTGGACTCCGGACATATCTCTGATATCATATCATCATGGCTACTACCTCAAGTGCTAGTACCCAAAGGCGTTCCCCTAGACACACTCCTCCTCCTACCAACCCAGGATCCAGAGCTAGCATGTCACCATCCGGCAGAGGAGCTTCCTCCCAAAAGAAGAAACCTCTAGCAGACAACAAAGCCCTGCGCAGGAACAGCCCTAGTGCAATGGCCCAGAAAGCTGTGCTGGGTAAACGCCCATCAAAGTCACCCCAAGAACAACCAGAGACATCTGTTCTTAAACCTCCAGGTAATCTGGTTATTGAAAAGATCAGCCCAAACCTGATATCAGCTTTAGAATCATCGAACCTCAGAGAGAGCCCCAGCAGTCCAATGAGCCCTCTGTACAAGTCCTTTCCTCCATTCTCCCGTGCTGAAGAGTCTGCTGAAGAACTTGAAATCCAGGATAAACCTACAGTAAAACAACGGGCTTCAAAGAGTGATTGTCCTTGCCGATCAACATCAGATGGTAAGGAATGGAAGTTCAAGTGTACCAGATGTTTTCAGCACTGGCATGCTTCCTGTTGCAATCTCAAGGGTGCTAACAACATTCAGCACGATACACCTCTTGAAGCTTCTCTGAATATGATTCTCTCAGAATGGCTATGTCCATGGTGTTTCGATACATCATTCCCCAGACCAGGCTCCAGCATGTCAGCCAAGATGGACAACAACCTAAAGAGCTCTGTAGACTACAGCCAGAACATACAGGCTATATCAGATGCTATTTCTAATGCTGTTGGTAACAGTATGCCTACTGTGGAGATTGTATCCCTGGAGACAAGACTGAAGAAGCTGAGTCAAGAGATTCATGAATTTCAGCAGTCCAGAAGTCCATCTGAAGCACCACCTGCTACAGAAATCCCCCTCCCTAAATGCACAGAACCTCCAGTGTGTGATTACCTGGTCGATGTGCTAAGTGCTGAGATCCTCAAAGAAGTTACAGAGTTTCTCCTGGAGAGCCAAGCTAGTAATAAGTTCATCCCGAAGAATGGAAGACAGGTCCTCAAGTTTGGGGAAGACTACTCTTATACTGGTGATTCAGACCCACCCCTATCCCCCACAATCCCAGCACCCCTTGCCTCAGCCATAGACGCAGTTACATCAAAGTGCAGACTGACCCATAAGCCCAACTCCATCCTAATAAACTACTACCCTCCCTCAGTTGATACCACCACTAGTAGCAAGCTCCCTTTTCACTCTGACGATGAGTCTGAGATTATTGCTAACTCAGAAATTGCTACTATCAGCATAGGCGACGTCAGGAAGGTGTGCTTTAAGTGCATCTATGAGACCGGAAACGAAGCCTCAACTGAGTATGTTCATAGTGTGAGTCCAGAATCTAACTCAGTGTATGTGATGACACGATCGTCACAAGCCTGGTATCGTCACGGTATTGATGAAACAGGTCCTGCTGAAACTCAGTCTTCTGTGCAGACAGGAAGGTTCTCCATCACACTGAGAACTGTGAGCAAACAGTTTAGCCGGAGCTGCATCATCATGGGCGACTCTAACACCAAGCCCATCAAGTTCGGTGTCGGTACTGGAACCCTTGGACAGTCCTTCCCAGGTGAACGTGTTAAAGCCAACAAGGTCAGTGCAATAGACCCTAAGCTCTGCATTGGTTATAGCAACGTCATCTTAGTTTGTGGGACCAACGATCTACGAGTTGAAAATGTGCAGTCACCTGGTGATATACACCAGCTGGTAGACATTCTCCACCTGAAAATCCAGCAGATCCAGAAACTGTGCCCTAAGGCGAAGTTGTTTGTCACAGCAGTTTTACCGTCTAGACTCCCTAAGATGAATAAAAACATTATGGCATTCAACAGCTTGGTTGATGAAATGTTGTACTCTAGCTTTAACCAGACTGTATGGCACCTTGGTGTTGGCCACTTTTTAGACGGTAAAGGGTTGCTTGCTATGAAACTCACGAGAAATGGTGATGAAATCCATCTCGGAGAGCTTGGTATTGCTAAATTTGTGAGATGTCTGAAACAGTGGGTGTATGTGAGGGAGAGACAGGAGAGAGTAAGACAAAGGAAGGCCACCCGACCAGTGGGAGTTTATCCCACTTAGTTTATCATGATTATGAAACTTATTAAAGATGTGTGCGACCCCTGTAGTAAATACATTAATATTGGCCAGCCACTCTTAGAATGTGAAAATTGCAGCAAAGTTGTTCATACTAAGTGCTTCAGATCCGCGAAATTTACAAGCAAAAACGGTCTATGGATGTGCAGTGATTGCTGTAGTACAATAGAAGATAGGTATTGCCCATTTCCAAGCAGCCAAAGATATGATGATTCAGATAAATTCTATGATACAAACAACCAGGAAGATGTCACCATAGCTAAATTCTCTTCAATACTTGAAGACTGTAAGCGTTACACAAAACAAGAACTAGCAAACTCAATCAGCAAACTTTTTCCTGAGAAAAATAAAAATTCTGCTTATCTGCCCGCTCTGTTTTGCAATATAGATGGGTTTGCTAGTAATTTTGACAGCTTTTTAATAGAACATAAGACCCTCCCGTGTAATTTTGATGTCATTGGATTGGCTGAGACCAACATCGATCCAAGCCAACAAGGCTTATACCAAATCCCCTCCTATACAACATTTTGTCAAGTACCATTCCCTGATAAGAAAAAAGGAACAGGAGTATCCTTATATGGTCAAGTTCGGAGACAACCTGTACATTTTTTACTTTTTTAGAAGTGTGTGGTGAAGCCAGCTCAACACAGAATGAAACTCCCTGATTATATGGCTGACAAGACATTTTTCAGGACTTTCTTTGAGTAAAAAAAGAAAATTAAAAGGTTGAACGGTTGAGCAGATACAGGTGGTATTAAACAAACCCTTAAAAGGTGGAGATTTAAGGTGGAGACTGGCTCTGGTTGAAGAAACTTTTGATTAAGGTCGAAAAGGTTATTGGTAACACAAACTACATCAAATTTGCAATCTGATGGTTTTATCAATATTTTATTTAAGTGCTCAACCGAGGTGGAGAAATTAAATGCACTTTTCAAAGCTGCTCAACCGGGGGTGGAGAAAGGTTTAGAGAGTTCTAGGTTAGCTAGAAAGTTGCGTCTCGGCCTTTTCTACTTCCCGTTCAATTTTGTTTTTTCCATTGACGCTCAACAGGGTGGAGATCTTTCATTAAGAAACAGTAAAAAGCCTGTCAAACATGCCTAAATTCATTGGTTTTATCACTAATTCTAATCTGCTCTGTTAACTGCTACTGTAGGGGATCATAAAACTGTTACCCCTTCTGTCTTAAAGCAAAGTGTTCTAGCAAATGAAAAAACTATCAAAGTTGTGAAAAGGTGCTCAACAAGGTGGAGAAATTGTTGATTAAACATTAAAACATTACAAAATGCATTAAAACTGGCCCCACCGGGTTGAGTTAAGCTTTGGTAGTTGATTTCTGGAAGAAATAACATTGGGTGACCCTTTAGCATGTATACAACTCATCAAACTAGCCATCAACCACTCAACCACGGTGGAGAACCTTGAATTCTGAGGTCAAATTTACGCCCAAATTTGTCAAATTTGAGTCTCCACCTATGTTGAGTGTACTTTTCAGCAAGGATGCCTTGTAATATGAGTTGGTAGATGATTTAGAATCATTGGTATTGCAAATGGACTGCCACAGTCACTCTACAGCTCCTAAACTACAGAATAACAGATTTTGAACTGCATGTTATGCTGTCTCCACCTCGGTTGAGCCGATTCTGAGGATCCTATTCTATGAAATATGATTGGTATAACCCATAATATTAAATATTAGGACTTTGGAGCAATTAAAAAGCATGAGAGGGTTAGTTCTAGTCACTTATATTAGCTCATGTAGTCAGTGAGCTGCTCCACCTGTGTTGAGCAGACAAACCTGCTCAACCGGCACTTTTTGAGTACCCACCTGTCTTACGTAACTTTAAATTGTGAAATTTGGAGTAAATATTTTTTTCATAGGTGATTTACAGCTCCTTTATTTTTGTAATTTTCAGGTGGCCACTGTCTCCACCAAGGTTGAGTTATTTAAATTTTGAACCCAGATATCATTATAGAAAGGTTAGGAGTATAATATCTGAAGAGCCTGTACCCCTTGGACTGTCAGAGGAATTATAATTAATTTTACCGTTTATGGCAGTGAAATGAGTGTAATTAGTGACTGATTTTATGTACAGGTTGTCTCCGAACTTGACCATATGTCTCTGATCGCCTGAATGCTGTAGTAATCGAAAATCTATCTCACTGTACAAAAGATATTGAGTGCTTATTTGTTGAAATTACTCTTAGCTCGGGTGATAAACTGACATATGGGGTTGCTTATCGTCCTCCAAATGGCTGTAGTGAGACCTTTTGTCAAACTCTTGAGGATATATCTAAGCAGTTGGCTGGTAAAAAGTTCCATATTCTTGGCGATTTTAAC